ACCATCCACAATAAAAATGATTAATCAACCTCTCATAATTACAAAAAAAATGAACAAAATGAAAAATTATGATTGGTTGAATGCGGTTTGCACGGTTTGTACAAATTGAGTGGTTTGCATTTGATCGCTCCCCTATATAGATATATATATATATATATATATATAGGGGCTGGTTCAAATGTTAACCAAGATTATTGTGTTAACTTTGTTAACCAATCTTAGATTAATTCTTACAATATACGGTTGTGATTAATCATGATAAAAAATTAATTTTTTAAATTTACAATTTCAAAAAATATATGCGAACAAAGGGGAAAAGAGTACTTAGGTAATTTTCTTTTTTATATAACTACCATATCATTAATTGGGAGTTACAAAATTAAAAAGTCTCATTATTTTTGTTAATTTACTTTTGTTAATGTAAGAACCATATGAACACACACACATATGAACCATTGTGTCAAATACGAAAAAAAATTGACATATATATGAACTTGGACTGCATAGCATTTATGAACATAATAAGAATAGCTGCTACACGAAAGGAAATAAATAAAAAAACATGTATGAACACAATATGAACAGCTTGTGAACAACAGTTCATTCATTATAAACACATTCAGGAGCGAGCGAATGTTGAGATATGCAGCTGGTGTACATATGAACACAATATGAACACTTGAGAACAATAGTTCCTTCATTATGAACGCATTCAGGAGCGAGTCAATGTTGAGATATACAGTTAGTGTACATATGAACACAATATAAACAACTTGTGAACAATAGTTCCATCATAATGAACACATTCAGGAGCGAACCAATGTTGAGAAATGCAGCTAGTGTACATATGAATACAATATGAATACTTGTGAACAATAGTTCCTTCATTATGAACAATGAATTTATCCATAATAGCTTGAACGATACCGAAACTTTACTACCGGATCTCTTCTACCAATCACAAATTCAAAAACATTATAGATAGAAAATCAATATTATAAAAAAAAAAAAGAAATTAACAACAATTATGAGATTTTTTGATTTTGTAACTCCCAATTAATGATATGGGAGTTACATACAAACTAAAATTACATATTTACCCTTGTTATTAAATTATGAGATGGATATAAACTTAGATAAAATATGGATTTTCATTGGTTGAGCTTGGTTAACAAAGTTAACACAATATAATTTTGTTGTATAGAGTTGGAATAGGTCCAAACATCCAACAAATCATCTAAGCCTATTGTGCCTTGAAGGTTGAACTTATATCTATTTGTGAGCATTGTTGAAGAAACTAATTTGATTTAGTTAGTTGCTAACAACACTTTTTACCATGCTACTTTTTAGGTTTGGTTTGGGTAAATTTCTATTTGAATCTTCTTTTTGGAAGCCATCCATGATCCACCTTATACATACTTAATATTGCATGTGTTGTCAAGACTTGGTTTTAAGAGACACAATATTGCCTTATTTTCCTAAGCTTGGGTAACGTGTGTGCATGAATACCGTCATGCGTATTTATTTATATGTGCGAACTTGCTAACTACAACATATTTCTAAATCCGACTAATAATAGATAATCAAGGTTGATGCTCAAAACTTGATGGAGAAAATTCATCTTATCCATTTCTAACATGCCAACATCGACCAAGACATAATCGTAAGTATACCTATTTTGCATCTTAGACAATGCTACAAATGATTTCATTGTAATGTAACCATAGAAAATACATGTGACATACTAATAACAACCACATTGATACTTTGCAAGTTGGTTATACTATATATTAAATATATATAAAATTAAACCAAGGCTTTATGATTCCTGACTTTGTCCTTTAAAGTTTCTCTAAGTTCTTGAAGAAATATATTGGTTGTGTTCTTATCAATTAATTTGTGGTTATGACAACTTTAAAGAACAAAAAGGGAAATCATAAAGCATGTTTCAAAGTAACGATAGTTTTTATGTTATATAATATATGATCTATAGTTTACCGACTGTTGATATGAAATTGATTACCAGTTGTTTTTTTTTCCATGTATTTTCTACCGTTATACTCACAACGAAAGCATTTACAGGATTGTCTATGGTACAAATTACAAAATGGACATACATACAACGGTGTCTTGGCCGATGTTAACATGTCAAAATGGATAAGGAGGGTTTTCTCCATCAAGTTTTGAAGCATCAATCATATTTATCTATAGTTAGTAAGATTTAAAATAAAGTAATTAGCAAATTGCACAATGAGATGGTGAATTTCCCGTTAAGTAGTCTAGCTTGTCTTAACCTATTAATTTAGTCTATTTAACGGTTGAACTTATTTTTGCTCCTTTGCTCATATGTGCTTGCATACGTATGTAGATATATGTATATACACATATGACATACCTATGTATCTATTTATGTATATATTTTATGTATATATACATGCACACATACACATACACACATATGTATATATGTGTGTGTATATATCTATTAGTGTACACACAAGTGATCCATTAAGAAATTGGAAAGGAGGGAAGTCGGGGAGTCCCTATGGTCACTTTGATTCTAGTCTAATGTGTGTTTTAGATAGTTAGAAGTATTAATTCTCGTATGTATATATATATATATATATATATATATATATATATACACTAATGTATATGTTGGTAGTTGCTATTGTTCACTTGAAATTATTGATCTTGATTCTTGAATCTCAATAAATCAAGAAATATTTTATTCAATAATGCACCAAATGAGTACCTTTTTTTTTGATAAAAAAAATCATGAAAATGAAATAAATTGTTGAATATGGAAAAAGATTTTTAAATATTTATTGCCTTAACGGCAACCTACACCATTATGATTCCACCATACCTCCGGTATGAATATTGATTTGTTTATTCTTTAATCTAATTTCAAATCGAAAAGGGTTTAAGTAAAGTTATTATTTAGCCCTAACAAATTATAAATCAATTGTTGGATTGAGACGAATTGAGAGTGCCAGCAGCCGCAGCAGCAGCTTAAGATTTTCAATATCCCTTGGAATCAGTCGATGAAACACTTGAAATTTTGAGTACTGAGAAATCCAAGAACTCCCACAAATTTTCAAGAAAAGCAGGTCATAAACCTTTGCCTTTTTGCTTACTCCAAATCTCCCCTCTTTGGTTCATCTCAAATCAAATTTCACCAAATTGGAAAAACCCAGATGGATTTTTAACAAAATTTCTTGAAACAAATTCTGGGTTTTGATAATTTTGTTTAGTTTTACAATGGGTGTTCAACAAGACGTGGTTCCTTCGGGGCCATGGGAGCCAGCACCTCAATCAAACCCTGGGATTCAGCGATGGAACAAAGCCGAGAAAGCTTGCGAGGGGATGATTTCCAAGTTTCAGCCAACTATCGTTGCTGAAAGGAAAAGAGATGCAGTAATCAATTATCTGCAGAGATTGCTCAAGGATAATCTTGATTGTGAGGTGAGATGATTTTTTCCACAATCGGTTGCCTTTTAAACCATTCTGATTATAATTATCTTTTGTGGTATGATTGAATTGAAACAATTGAATTTTAATACGCATGTGTAGGGATTATTTCAGTAACCATATTCACTGATTTGATTACTTGGGTAAGAAAGAAGACAACACAACACAACACAACACATCACGATCTTGTATAAAGAAAAATGTTGATCAAGATTGACATGGGGAGAACTAGTCAAAGAGAAACTCAATGGGGTTCACCTATTTTCATGATCTAGATGTAGATTCGAGGATTAGATGATCACCTTTGCTTTGAGGTTCTTAAAACCGCATACTATGGTTATTGATTTCATAGGAATATGTGAGGGAAGGAGTTTCGTATGAATACGATGAATTGGGGTATACACTACCCTCTGGACCGGTCTCATGCCCATCTTGGGGGAGGTAAATCACTGCGAGTCAGCAGTAAGCGATGGTGCTGAGTTTGAACCGTGTGGCTTCCCACCATCCTACTGCTAAGGATAAACATGGGGACATCTCTTACGATCAATTTGCATGTCTTTGGTAAGCATTCGGGGATTAGTCTGTTAATTTTTCGTAAGGTTTGGCAAAACATCTCTTCTTGTTGTTGGTTTATTTAATATATATAGGGAAATAGGGAGAGGAGAGGAGAGAGTTTAAGTAAAAGGGATAAAACTTTATGACGACTTTGGTAGTGCATAACCCTTTCTGAAAGGTATATAAAAGTGTATCTCCTTGGCGTTTCTAGCTTGTTATTATAGGAATATTTTAATGGTTGTATCTATCATGGTAGCGCTAATTACATAATCTGTTGTTACCTAAGAAGTAGTAAAGAGGGCTGATATGTAAAGATCCCAATGACATTGGGAAGTTTCAAATTGATTCATATATAGTAAACGTGTGAATGAATATTCGACATATGACTTTGACGTAGCAAGAAACATAGCATTTTTTAATGCTCTTGAATGCATCTGTTATAATCATCGACATCATTGGGTATCTTATTTTACTCAAAAAGTAGATATTAGACTATGCACGTTATTTGAAGGAATGATGAACCTATATTTTTTAAGGTTCATAGGGTATATCTCATGGGCAAGCCTTAGGGGCTGTTTGGTTGGTTTTCCATCGAGTCTTGTATGGGTAAAGTTGTCTGTGTAAATTAATCTGTCTATATAGATAGGCAAGGTTTTTTCATAGATGGAAGGAGATATATTTTTTAATTGGGAGGGGTAGGTTTGGAAAAAATACTTGGCTTTCTGCAAAAAGCTCACCCCTAGAGGCTTACCGAATAAGTAACTTTCCATATCATTAAGCCACTACCAAAAAGTCATATATAGTTGACCGAATAAGTTGTGAGTCCCATTAAGCTCATTATGCTGCTAACAAACAGGCCCTTAGAGTTGGAGCAACCCTGAATAGTAGGTCACAACTTGATGTATGGAAGAAGCCTTGTTGCAAAATGCAACAAAAGATGACTAGTGTCAAAGAAACATATTGGGGTCTAAGTGGTTCGTTTTGGGTTCTATTTTGGTTAGAACAAATTGGTTTAGAACTTTCTTGAACTATGAAATATAAATATTGTATATATGAACAGATGGAAACTTTCGTTATTATGTGTTAATCACAAAAGAGTAGAAGGTGAAAAAGTATAGCAAGATTAGATATATAGATGCACATCTAGCTATTGTACGAAGGGTGATCCTCATGCACCAAGATGCTTCACTTTGCAACCGTTACGGAAGGTATTCCATAGATTCAACCTCTCAGGAAGAAGATATCTTCATAACAAAACAGTTGTGTTTTAAAAACATAAATATCACTTCTAAATGCTCACTTTTAAATATCCTCGTGCGTTACATCCTACCGTCCCCAGATCCTACTCTGTGTGAGATTCACGGTGTTCATTTGGTCTGGTTCATTCTCTAAGTTGTCCTTGAGTCCCATGCATCGTATTATTATATTATATATACTCTCATATGCTGCCAACTCTTCTCAATTGCTGTTATTACCTGCATCCACTGCAGTGGCATAACATTACTTGCCATTGCAGCCGCTACCCTCTGCCACCATTTGCCACCGTTGCATTGCCGACTGTTGACTGCTAGAGTGAAAACCTATAGAATCTTGATGTTTCTTTGGTAGATGGAGAAATTCAATACTTATATTTGGTAACAATAATGAGTTAATGATTGTTCAATGTATTTTATATCAAGTATCTTTGTTCTATTCTTGATGGATGTACTATATTTTGTATGTAGCTATAAGTCTATAACATTCAAGATAAAGGATGAACAAGAGGTATGATTAAGTTTTCAATGATGACTTAAACTGATGGCCCCATCAACATGCCTCTAATTGTATTTTGAAGTAGTTTCCTATTTTGTATTGAATAACATAACAAAACAAAACAAAATCGAACCCCAAATGATCAACCGGAGTTTTCCAATGACTTGCTAATAGTTACACCTTCAAACAACACGAAAACCAAATCGAACCTTGCACACCCCTATGAATATTCAAACATAATAGCTCCATTGTCTTGTTGGTATTGTTAAAAATCAATATGTTTTTTTTTGTTGATTAACGTGGATATCCAACCCGCTATGCAAGCCGACTAATCCCAGGCCGACCACCTGCTTTGTAGATAGTCTGGAGTCACCGCATTTGAACCTCCGTGGCCACAAGGGGATTTTTATTTTTCCTTGGATTTGAACTTGGGACCTCCTAGTACTTTTGACCTTTGGAGCCAAGCTCAAACCAATCATGCACCACCCTTGTGGTTAATCAATATGCTTTTAAGCATAATTTCACCAACATTCGGGTAAACCTAGTTACATATTTACCCTTTTGTTGTATTTTATTATCCTGCATTAGCATAAACGTAGGAATATAGTTTGCGATCATATCTTGTGTACAAAACGATGATCCTTGTAGTTTCCTTGATTTTATTGGGCGTCTTATTATCTTCAGTTGCTTCTAGCATTAGATTTTCAATGATGAGTGAGGATCTAAAATGTTTCAAATGATCAAAAGATTAAAGTTGTAGAGAATTACAGTACCATCTTTCAAAAATAAGATCAACTTTGTACTAAAATAACATCCATGAAAATTTTATTTGATTATTCATGAACTTCCTTCAGGTGTTCGCTTATGGATCAGTGCCATTGAAAACCTATCTCCCTGATGGAGATATCGATTTAAGCGCGATTGGTGCAAGCACGGATGAACTTGTAAGGGATATCGCATCATTACTCGAGAGTGAAGGGAATAATAGCTCAGCGGAGTTTGTTGTTAAGGATGTCCAACTTATTGGTGCTGAGGTATTTTCTTCTAATACTGCACCATGCCCCCCAAAAAAGAATGAGCTCTTGTGGTCAAATAGTCTAGTTTTTAACTTATAACTGAGATGAATTATCTGGAAAACAAATTTGATGGCAGGTTAAGCTTGTGAAATGCATGGTGCAAAATCTTGTGGTTGACATTTCTGTTAATCAAATCGGGGGACTTTGCACTCTATGTTTTCTCGAGCAGGTAGGTGAAACTTTTACGAACTCTATGCCATGCTATATAATGGTTTTATTTTCTCCATGTACTTATAAAAATGGTAAAAATACTCGGTAATTCCCATAAGCATCTTATACTATTCGGTTCTTATTTTAACAGTAAATAATTTCTTTGTTCATCCATGCGACGCAAGAACCATTTTCTATATCTGTTTATCATTATTACTGTGTAAAACATTTTGTATATTGATGATTATAAACACATATAAATCTTATCTTCGAATATTTCAGGTGGATCGTGTAATCAAGAAAGATCACCTTTTCAAACGAAGCATTATTCTGATTAAAGCGTGGTGCTACTTCGAGAGTCGTACTCTCGGTGCACATGTCGGTCTCATATCAACATATGGATTAGAGACTCTAGTTCTCTATATTTTTCATGTATTTCATATGGCAATAGAAGGTCCTCTCTCAGTGAGTTCTCGAAAAACCTCCATCCTCTATATCCAAATTTCAGATATATATTAGCTACTAAATTTCCCTTGAATGCAATACTTTGATAGGTTCTGTATAAATTCTTGGAGTATTTCAGTGCGTTTGATTGGGATAAATATGGTATCAGTATAATGGGCCCCATTAGATTATCCGAGTTGCCAAGAATCGTAGGTGAGTTTAAACATACCATTTTAATGTCATTTTCGTTGTTTCTTTCTCATATTTCTTCATTGAAACCGTCTTTTATCTTCAAAATTGTAGTCGAGAGACCACCAAACAGCAACAATTTATTGCTTAAAGTCGGTTTCCTTAGACATTGTTCTAAGACGTTATCGGTTCCCATGAGATCTGGGGATGTATTTTCTAAAAAGCATCTCAACATTGTGGATCCGTTAAATGATCATAACAACCTCGGGCGTAGTGTTAGCCAAGGTATGTCTCTAATTCTTTAGGCATTATGTTTTGCATTAGGTAGGGGTCTTCATGGATACAGCCGCTCTATTCTCTAGGCATTATGTTATTATCGGTTAATTCTTTTACTTTTCAATATATGGTCAGGAAATTTTTTTCGTATACGTAGTGCATTCGGTTATGGTGCTAGAAAACTCGCGGAAATCCTTATGACCCCAGAAGATAACCTGACCAAGGAGCTTCTTTCGTTTTTCTCAAATACATTGAATATGCACGGAAGTGGTCAAAGACCTGATCTTCCTGATGATGTTCCAAGGTCTTTTCTTAACGTCAGCATTTCAGGGGCAGAAAAGACATTTACCACAAGGGTAAGTGGAAAACCGAGAAGCTCTAATGATGAAAACTCATATGAAGGCAGTGGGTTTCCGGGGAACCGATTTTCTAGCGAAGGAAAAGACGTATCTGCCCTCATGTCGAGTAGTACGGGAGAAGCTGCTAATCCTGTCAGTATACCATTCTATGCACCCCATCTTTTGTTTGATTACTCCAAGTTAGTTAATAAGGAGGAAAATGGTGATATTGATGATGCCAAACAATCTGAGGTGCATGAAACTGGTGTAAACTTGGCTCCATCGGAACCATTGGATCTCACCGGTGACTTGATGTCTCATTTGGTGTGTTTGGAGCATGTCAGGTGGTGGAATAGTTATGTTCTGGGACCACCCATGATGGGACCACCGCCACCACCACCGCCTATTTTGCTAAGCATGATTGCGTCGGAACATGGTGGTGTTGTTCGCCATCCACAGTTCCACCCTTCAGACCAGATGTTCATGCCTAGATCACCTTTCGTTCCCAATGATCCCAATCCAAGAGGCACCATGACATACTTCACGGACATGGTAAATTTCATATTTTGTTAATTTTGGAACTCATAATTTATTTATTTTGTAAATTAGCAAATTTAGCATGCCCATATCTTGATCACCATTGTTAAACTCTTACGCCGTGTTCTCGAAACCTTTTTATAAGTTGGGAGTCTTCACGAAAGCAGCTGCTCTAGTTTTATGTACCCCCAACCCACCTCCAGGAGGGATATATGGGGCTTGTTCTGTGTGGTTAGATTATGGCAGTCTTTTTAGAGATATAGGTATATCATTTTGTTGATCATTAAAAAAAACAACCTTTTGAGTTCTAAACTATCCATATGTTTTTTGTATTAATCCTTCAGAATCGATCTCGACATGGTTATCACACCAAAACATCGAATGCAACCAATAAAGGAACATCTAACCCAACTGATTTCATTACCCCACCTGAAGGAGTTGCTGGATTTGGTCTGGTTGGCCGTCCTACACCACCACATAGAGAGCCGTTGTTACATAGGCGGCACCAAAATCATAATCGAGCTTGTCAGCAGGATGGTACACAGAGACCCAGATCTGTTTCTGGTATGGATAGGTATAGGAAAAGTATCATTTCTTAAATTGTATAAAAACTGGTGGTTTAATCTAATCCCGCTATATGGGTTGCACGACGAATCTGATATGCTCGGAAATGTGATGTGTAGGTTCAATGTACAATCCTCATACCATCTAAAAGATGAAGATGATTTCCCACCTCTGTCTGCGTGATTGTAGTCGGGCGGAGGACATCTACAAGGATCGGTAGTGGGATCTCGGAAATCGCGAAGGTGGTTGTGCATGTAATATATGCATAAAGAAATGTTACAAAGTTTTTCTCTGCGAACACCTCAAATTTTGTTGTCAACATAAACTGTAAGTTCTTGTTGTCTATCCCTTAGTTTTAATACATTTTAGGTGGCCCCTTGTATTCTGGTGCTTTCAACAATTTTGGCTCATTTTTTTGTCTTGTCTTTAAAACAAATAAAAAAATTTGCAAGGTCTTTATAGAAACAATCATTTGGGTATCCTTGTCGAGCCCTATTTTAGCTGGGATAAATTATAAAACGGGTTCGTTGATGGAGTGAAGAGGAGGTCTTGGATGAGCAGTTGAGGTTAGACATGGTGGTTTTATGTATTTTTCGAGATCCAATAGGTCGTAGAGATGCAAGACTTGACGGGAGGAAGGGATATGGAGAGGTAGGCTTTGAGGCTGTTTTTTAGCAGCTTAATGAGCTTAACAGGAATTGTAGTTTATTTGGTCAGGTATACATGTTTGGTAGTGACTTAATGATATAGAAAATGACTTTTTCAATAAGCTTCTAGGCGGAGCTTTATGTAGAAAGACAAGTTTTTCCAAACTGTCTTTCCCAATTAAAAAACATGCTCCATTCATCTACGAAAAACCCCTCTCAAACAAAAACCTCTAAATCTATACAGACATATTAATGCACATAGACAACTTTATCAATAGATGATATAATGCAAAGCCAATGGTGGTTTTTTTTTTGTAGCTTCTTTTTTCAACATTTTCTATTTTCATAGATTTTTTGAGCAAGTTTTATCCTTTTTAACGCACACTTTGCACAAGGCAGGATATTGACGGAATCCGGTCCTATTTGTAACTGGTTAAGGAGACTTGTTAGAACAAGGTAGGCCCAATAGGTTAACCTTCTTTTCTAAATCGATTATGGTCTGCCCATAAGGACCGGTTTTGTAATCGTAACCGAATTGGTTTTAAGAAGTTCAAATAATTTTCAATTGCCACGCATTTAATATCGAAAGTGAATTACATGTTATGTTCTTATGATTAGGTTTTCTTTAACGAATCCCGTCCGTGTCTTGAAAAAAACAACGGATTGTGCCCCTTTTCGTTTGGATCCTTATCGCTAACGTTTGTTAAAAGAAAAGTCCATGACCATGCGCCCTTTACGTGAGGGGCTTTTTTAGTCTTTTTACACTCTTTAGTTAATTTTTTTTCTTTGGTTCCCTTTTCCTTTTCATATGAATTGTTAAAAGGAAAACCTAACTAGTTAAAAGTTGAAAACCCCCAAAGCTGTCTCCATCTCGATACAGACCGCAAAGAACTCTTCACTGTTTCCGTTTTCCGACTCTAGCAACACTCCAAGGTCTCAGATTCCGATAAATCCTCGTTTGTAACCTCCTATCGACTCCTGATTGTTTTTAAACCCATGGTTGCTAGCTTAGAAGAAGCCCTAAAACTTAGGGCTTCACTACTTTTTCTATGGGTTCACCTTCTTAGATTTACGTATTGTATAATGATTTGGTAGCAATGTGTTTTTGATTTTTATATGTGTTGTTGATGTTCATACTAAATCAATGGGTTTTCATGGTTAAAAGTTTTGATTTTTGAAGATTTGGGTATGGGTTTTAATTTGATTTGGTTTTGCATTTTAAATTTTGTTTTATCATAGAATAAAAAATTATAAAAAAGACAAAAGGTAAATAACTAAATATTTAAAATACTAAAAAACTCCCATAAGGCCCAAGGTAAATATAACGGAAGTTAGTGATAGGAATTCAAAGTTGTTAAAATGTAATCATAGAACATAATCAATTGTTTTTCCAAAATGGACGGGAACTAAATACATAGACAAAACATGTAATTCACAATATTTATAATTTATAAATAGATTAACGAGCTTTTATAATTTAATACCTTTTAATTTTTATTATCTTACCGTGTTTATATAATTTAGACCCTGTGGTTTATATGAATCATCGAAAGTGGTCTCTAGACTTCAATAACCATAATTATCGTCCCTACTGTTTATATTTTGCATTGAAAATTGCCCCTCGACTTAAGTCTGTTAATTTGTTTTTGTTAAGTTAGGGGTATTTTCATCGTTTTACTTTTACAGGGACACGTTATACAATTTTGTTTAAACTATAGGGTCTGAATTTAATTTACTATACTTCATATTGTATTATATTAATACATATGTATGTATATATGCATTGACACTGTTGCACCAAGACGCCATGCCGACGACCATAACATTGTCTTCGACGACCATCGACCACTGAACCACCCACCTGTGAGCGCCGTTAACCACCACCACCACACACACACGCGCGACACACACACACACACACACACACTCTCTCTCTCTCTCTCTCTCTCTTTGTGTTTTCATTTGTATCATCCATCTCCCCCTTCCATCTTTGTCCCAAACACATACACACCCGCGTGCATAGACATTATGGTCTCCAAGATGTCGTCTCAAGCGATAGATGAGGACGCCATCTCCTACGATACCATATCAACGGGCCTCCCACACTACCGATGCTCATCTCCGGTAACTGCCCCTTCCTAGGTCCACATATTCCCCTAACAGAATCAGCAAACGAGAAGTACCAGCATCACTGAGTTTGTCCCCGTGACCGACCCCCTCTTACTACCCATCCCCGCTACTGACACCATCTCCATCGATACTCCCCTCGATCTCCCTCTCAAGCACCCTCATCGATCACCAACCTCATCCCCTTTCTAGAAAGAAAAAAACCATTCTTATTTCCCTTTTTTATTGTCGATTTCAGAAAACATTTTATTGGTTTTAGATTTAGGTCGGACAAGATGACCAAAAGAGGTCACTGAGTGGTGGGTGTTGGAAAAGGCCACCAGATTTTGGTCCCTTAGTGGCTGGATGTGTGGAATACTCATGGGTGAAAAACAAGAATAAGTCAAAAACAAGAAAAGGACAAAAAAGTGAAAGAAAAGACAAAACTACCCCTTAGTTAACCAAGTTTTTTAACGAAGTTAGTGACCAGAGATATTTCAAAGCAAAATGTAAATAGTAGGAACAATAATTGTAGTTATTGGAGTCAAAGGAACCATTTTTGGATATTCGTGTAAACCACAGAGACCAAAATTGTAGTTTATTCTAAAATTATCTTACCATGTTTATATAATTTTAAGCAAACTTCACTTTTGGACCTGTACTATTTTTATTTTTTCGGTTTTAGTCCTTACAATTTTTTTTATTATATGATTGCTATTGTGGTTTGGAACTTCGTTTGGTGTTGGACCCCCACTTTGGTCATTGGATGTTTTCTTCTCAAAGTGCATTTTACCTTTTTTTTATTTTCTCTCATTCCCTTCTAAAAGTTTAAAATTTAAATTTATTTGTGACCAATTACAAGAAGATACATACTTACTCCCTTCCCTCCCTCTCTTCCCTTCCCTTACCCCATGCTACTCTTGCAAAACTTCGACACCCTCTCCGCTAAGTTTATCCAATTGCACTACAAAACTGAGACTATCGGTGGCCAAAAATTCGGGCGCAAAAGGTCTAGTCCATCACTGATCTGTTGTTGATAGTCCATAGGTCATGTTATTTGCGACAGATCAGCGAAAGATATCAGCGACAAAATGTTATTAGCGATGGAAGGGCCGGGAGGTGGGGCAGGGGTGAAGTGTATCCTGACTGCCCCATAAACGCTGCAAAATGCTACGATAATGCGATCTACTAGGCTAACTAGGTAGCGACATAATGTATCTAGCTTGTTGAGCCTCCATCTCGGTCCCATGGCCTTCCTATCACAGTCACGTGTTAGAACCCTATTTATAAAAGTGTAAGTAAGAAACCTCTTACTCTAGTCAAATAGGACTTTAGTCTTGGAAGCTGTTTGGACCAAGAGCTCGGATGCAGAGGTCACAGAGAGACAGAGCAAGAACCTCGCATGCAGAGCCCGTGCTCAAAACAGAGGAAGATCAAGTCTTAAGCATAAAAAAGATTAAAGACTTGATACAGAGCTATCTTTCCAAACACAGAGCCTCTGCACTATAAATGCAGAGCCTCTGAGTGTCCTACGCCCTTAGTTCGTGCACAAGCGGTTCCAGCCTTATCTCCAAGTCTCCATTCAGAATCTGAGACGTACGCAGAAACGGTTCCACACTTTAAGGAACGTAAAGGAAGAAGACTCTGAACAAGAAATCAGAATTTGAAGCCTAGAATATAGGAGATTCTGTTTATACCTAGACGTATAAAAGGAGGTGTCCTCCTTGGGTTCTAAAGACCCCGAATTGCCTAATTCTTATACGCTCCTATTATAGAGAATTCTTGTGAGAACTAGTTGATAGTTGAGAGTTTACTTGCAAACTCTTATTCTAATCAAAGCAGCCGACTTGTTCAAACTTGTGTTTCATTCATATATGTTTTTGATCAAACTTGTTAACCATTTCAATAACACAATAGTCGCTTCCACTCAGAATCTGTTTTATACTGTGTTAATTGATACTTAAGACGATTCTGAGTTTCTACAATTGGATTCAGAGCCTGCTAATCAGTCAATTGATTAGTCGATCTAAATCCAAAAGAATAATCCTCTTTTGTTGGTTGATTCTTTTTCTCGAAACGATTTTACATTCCAGATCTTATATCTCATTTTTTCTTGAAAAACAATCGCTTTTCGTGTTCTCCAAGTTTGCTAGTTTTCAAGTTCAGTTTTTCCTTAAATCTTCAAACATCCTGTTTGTTTTCTCTCTAAAAACAACTTTAAAATGTCAAATCAATCCTGGAACTCCATGTACAGTGCCGACTCCCTCACAGAACCTCCTACTCTCATTCGGGATGAATATCCCCAATGGAAAATTAGTATGATAAACTTCTACGAAGGTCTCGACCTTGAACTTTACGAATCCATAAAAAATGGGCCCTATGTGCCCATGACTTTAATTCCTAGGATTCCTCCCTCTGGCAACACTGTCGAAGTACCTGCAAGGCGTGTTCCCAAAGAACAAAGAGATTGGGATGATGAGGATAAGAGAAGGGTGGAAATCGATCAAAAAGCCAAAAGGCTTTTAAATATGCCCCTCCCGAACGAGATCTTCCAATCCTTAGATGCATGTGAATCCGCTAAGGATTTATTGGATCAAATAGCAAATTAGCTTGAAGGTGGATCAAAAGGAAGAATAACAAATGTGCTCAACGTCTAAGCGAGTACAAC